AGCAGCAGGGGAGGTCTCTGGGAGGGGTGGGAGCTGGGCATAGAGATCTGTGGTGGAGGTCTCTGGGCTAGGGGGCACTGAGCATAAGGGTGAGACACTGTGCAGGGGGGCGGTGTGGTGCGGGCCCGCCCTCAAGGGGAAGGGGCATGCTGGCAGCACAGGGCTGGGCAGGCCAGTGTGTGTCTGGCAGCTGCAGGTTTGTAAACAGTGCCCTCCTGCTGGGCTGCACAGAGCGGGGCTGCTCCCGCCGTGCTGTGCCTCATTGCCCCCAGCCCACCCTTCGCTCTGGAGACTGACCATCCTGCCCCCCTGCATTTTGTCCCATGGGGGCCCACAAATATGTTTGGCACCAGGCCCACAAAAAGTTAATCCGGCCCTGCCTGTAAGTGAGATGTGGTAGGTACCTGGGCGCCCATTCTTTTTCATAGATTCCAGATACTGGATAAGATCTTGGGTTGCAGTCTTGTTTCCCCACCAATATGGAATTGCAGGCCATAGTTCACGGTGCTTCATTACTTCATTCACATCCTCATAGGAGATGATAACCTGGTACCCATATGTCCACATGTTCCGTAGCGTTGGAACCACCTGAAAGGAATGACAGTTCTACTGTTAAAATTGACAGGAGCTGAATGACTAGCTCCTGGGCAACTCTAAAAAAATCAAATGCTAAGACATGAACTTGCTCTAAAATGAAATAGATGCAGGCTCAATTCAGACAATGCTGCTAAACCTGCCAACAAAAAGGGCTGGCACCAGGTGAATTAGAAACTGCTTTGGGCTGAGAGAGCTCTGTGATGTAATAATAACTCGAGATCCTTGGGGAATCAGGAAGTCTCCATCTCTTTGGCAGTTCTATTTAGGGCACACATTACACGTTCTCCTTCCTCCTCTCTAACAGGAAACCAACCACAGTTCCCCTAATGCCTTCCACAAACACACACCAGCTCTAGACAAGGGTGCTAGTAGTACTGCAAGAGTGGGGGGTAGGGTTGGCAAGCAACGAAAACATCTCCCTCCCAGAGCCTTCAAGGAAGCACCCCCTCGCCAGACTGACTCTCCTGGACCTGTCAAGGGAGAACCCTAGTCACCAGCCTGACCCTCTTCTTCCCCTCTCTCACAGTCCCCATCATCCCGATCTCCAGTGCCTATGAGTCGGAACCAGTTCACCTATCCTTAAGAACAAGATGATTTGCGGGATGCTTCAGGCGAGAAGGGATGTAATTTGAAACCTAAAAGTCACATTTACTTAGAGATCGTTTCAGTGTATTGGCCCTCTCTCTGATAGACTAGATGTGATCCATCCATGTTCTTTAAGTAACGTTTACCTAATTTCTTATTCCCAAAGGCTATTTAGCCTGTGTCCGTTTCATGGCTCTACTGCACATGCACCTCAGACTGCTATGCTAAGAACCCTGAATGCTTAGAGAGTGTCATTCTTCTACCCTCGCCCTGATTTGCCAGTGTTTGCAACTTAATCCATTCCTGCTCTTCCCTGAAGCAACTTCAGTGTGGTGGGGCAGATGGGCAGAGCAAGGAAAACACCTTCCTATCTCCATACTTCTCTCCCCAGCTCTCCACAAAGAAAGGGAATACCTCCCCGCTGCCCCGTCATTGAAATGGGAAGGGGGAGAGAATCCATTTGGGGGGGGAGAGGGGGACTAAAGAAATGTGTAATTTTAAAGCAGGTGGAGATCAAACGCCGCACCTGCTATAATTACCTTGGTCACTCATCCCAATCCTGGCACCACAGTCCAGATTTTTGAAATCTTACTCTCCAGTAGAACTAAAAGGAGTTTTATACCATTTTACCAGAACTAAGGGCTGGCAACATGTCAGGTTCAACAGCATAAGTGGTAGAAGCAAGAATCCGGCACTGAAAGCTACAGCATGGTATGATAGCCCCTTCACGATCTTAGTCCCTTTATTATTTTGTATCAAAAATTCCTTTTGTGGTGAGGGCAGTTTAATTCATCCCATTCTGGCTGACCATTCTGAATACAAGTAATCTATTCCATTACCGTCTCTAATATTGGTTCTGTTAATCCAGACATTATGTCAAAGAGTGCTGTGAGGAAACAATAAAACAGTGTCACTCACGTCTTCAGTTGAGGCCTTGAATATTCAGGATCATCTAATTTCCCCCAGAATTGTTCTATTTTAACTCTGCTGCACAAACCTCTTTGAAATGGTCATCTTGGATGGATACCATACTACATACGGTAACTTCAAAGACTTAATTCAAATAGTAAACAGAGTCATCATTGGCCTATAGCCCTCCAGTCTCCAGAGAAATCTGACTGTTCATGTGCCTCTTTGAAATGTTAATTGTTTAACTGCTCAAAGCTCTTGTACCTTGTAGCTGGCTTAAAAAAACCTTGAAAATTGTAACTCTTAGAATTTAATCATTAAATAATCTCTGATTATTAAATCAAGCCCTTTCTGGAGGGCTGGTGGGTTCAGCCTAAGTTCAATAGAGAAAGTCATTACCACCTGCTGGCTGTTGTGTGAAGTCAGTAGGTGGTCCCAGTCCAGTCCCTAGTGGAGAAGCCCACATCACAAAAAGCACTAGCACTAATTAATGCCTTGTTGGCAGTTGTAGCAGAGAGGTCCAGGATCAAAAAGACAGACCAGACTACTGTCTCATTCCCTAACTACTGTCCCTCTGGAACACAGCTGACATACATTGGAGGAGCAGTGTGAGGAAGCCTGTACTGGTGCTGCTACCATTATGTATCAATTCTATCAGAGAACTTTAGGGCCAGAGTTGTCAGGAGAGCACTAGCACCAAAAGTACACTAAAAAAACCACCTCCACAGACATTCCCAGTACTACCTTAGAAGTGCATTTAACATCATCACTCTGACTAGGCACGCTAGGGGAGTGAATTATTTTGAATGCCATCAGTGGAATCTGGTGTGAATCAATCTATCAGGTGCCAATATAATTCACAGGTGCAATTACAAAGTTCACCTAATTACCAAACATCTTATGTACCCTTTACTGGACTGCAGAACAAGAGATTTTACATGGGGCCATTTTAGGCATGAAGGGAGGGGAGAGGAAAAGAAGTATATATTTTTAAATCTGTATTTATATACTATATGGCCTTGTCCACATTAGCAAACTTTTAGCCATAGCAAAATGCAGCTCTGCTAATGGTAGCAATGGTGGAGAATTATAGGTATAATGTTTGCTAGTATAGATGCAGTCTATTTTCCATTTTGCAAAAAATTCTAGTGAACTGAACTAGGAGGAAACCACAAAAGAGTCCGCCAGAAATTTATCTAACCTACAGAAAGTAACAGAGAATGATATACTCTTTATAGTGTTTCTAAGCCATCCTATCAAATGTAAGGGTATGTCTACACTGCCCATGTTACAGCGCGGCCGCAGCAGCACCGTGACGTGGGCAGTGTAGTCACGTTTTATCACCAGCTCTCCCGGTGATAAAAAATAACCACCCCAAACAAGGGGTGGTAGCTTTATCGCCAAGAGCGTGGCTCCCGGTGATAAAGCGCTGTCTATACTGGCGCTTTTCAGCGCTAAAACTTTTGGCGCTCAGGGGGGTGTTTTTTCACACCCCTGAACGACTAAAGTTTTAGCACTGAAAGTGGCAGAGTATACACAGCCTTACAAGATTTCTGTGCCTGCTATGAAATCTAATAGTGTCTTAAAAATTAAAAATGTTAAATTCTATTAGGGTTTTAAATTAATATCTAGACAAGAATCCCATTTAATTTCTGTGGCCCAGATTGTGAGCGCCTTCCTCATGGTGGTAAGTAGTTACTCATACAAATAATCCCATTGCCTTCAATGGAATTGTAACAGATATTGCAACCCCATGCAATATCTATGTGTGATTGTATTTTACACCATGGGGGAGGGTTACCACAGCTCCTCTAGGAACTAAAAGCAGCAGGGGGTGATTACCCTGAGGATTGTAAACAACTCTAGAGAAGCACCACCCCAAGGAGTGTTTGCATATGCTGGTTTAAAATGAGTTTTCCCGAGACTCAAATAAAGAACGGGCTTTTGGTATAAAATGCTCAGCTTGAACTGACACAGGTCACACAGGGCCTTCATTTTTATTCAGCAACCAGATAGAGCCCTCTGTCCACTGGGAGCCCCAACCCTTGTGCAAGGTGTGACGTTATTCATATAATCTGGGACCATATAGATCATTGTTGCAACCATGGTCCTGTAGTGGTACCAAATCGTGTATAAAGGGGGTCAAATGAGGTGTCTAAGACAAGGTTATGGTTTGCTGGTTATGATTATGCTGTCTATATGTGTGTATCAATTTTGTAGTTGAAGTTATGAATATTGGCTCTATACTGTCTGTATTTCAAACTTACGCTATGCTTCTGGGTGACATCCCGGACAAGTTGGTGTTAGCTCTGCCTAGCATGCTTGATGGCCCATTAAGGACCATCAGCTATACAATGGACCCATTGAGAGAAGGCAAATACACCTGGCAACTCAGCAAAGTATGCAGGGACTGGCCCATGTGACTCCAGACTCCATTTTGCTGTAATTTTCCACAGTAAGGACAAAGAGTTGTTCTTACACCTGGAAAAGACTATAAAGGGCCGATGCCTCATCTCCATCTTGTCTTCAGTCCTGCTTCATACCTCTGGAGGGACTTTGCTACAAACTGAAGCTCTGAACAAGGACTGAGGACCCATCCCAGCTGGAGATGTATTCCAGAGACTTGATTTTGAACCTGCAGTTTATTTCATCACTGCTACAAGCCTGAACCAAGAACTTTGCCATTACTGTATGTAATTGATTCGAATTAAACAATTCTAGCTCTCATCTATAGCTTTTTCCATTTATGAATAAACCTTTCGATTTTAGATTCTAAAGGATTGGCAACAGCGTGATTTGTGGATAAAATCTGATTTGTATATTGACCTGGGTCTGGGGCTTGGTCCTATGGGATCAGGAGAACCTTTTTTCTTTTACTGGGGTATTGGTTTTCATAACCATTTGTCCCCATAACGAGTGGCACTGGTGGTGATACTGGGAAACTGGAGTGTCTAAGGGAATTGCTTGTGTGACTTATGGTTAGCCAGTGGGGTGAGACCAAAGTCCTCTTAGTCTGGCTGGTTTGGTTTGCCTTAGAGGTGGAAAAACCCCAGCCTTGGGCTGTAACTGCCCTGTTTAAGCAATTTGTCCTGAATTGGCACTCTCAGTTGGGTCCCGCCAGAACCAGCATCGTTACACCAGGGTGGGAAACACTTTGGCTTACCAGGGCCCTGTAAGACTGATGGATGGTGATCTCTGATAAGCTTTTAGCATGCATGCAGGAACTGTATGTTCTCTCTGTAGTGCTTTTAGCTCAAGAATAAATGTATTTTGCTTTCAGAGTGGTAGCCGTGGTAGCCACAAGTACTCCTTGTATTATGCTTTGTGAAGGCTGGTTGATACTGGTATGTACTGATATAGCTAGGGCAGCAGTTCTCAACGCGCAGCCCGTGGGTCGCATACAGCCCAACTAGCACACAGCTGAGGCCCACCTGTGTGCTAGAGGCCGCAGGGGTCTGGAGCTACTGGGACTGCCCTGCCCTGCACGGCGAGGTCCGGAGCCAGCCGGCGCAGCAGGGTCCGGAGCCGCTGAGGCTGTACTGCCCTGCCTTGCCCTACCCTGCCTCGCACTGCAGGGTCCAGAGCTGACCTGTCCCAGGCGGCGGAGTCCGGGGCCACCGGGGCTGACCTGTCCCAGGTGGTGTGGTCCAGGGCCGCCAGAGCTCTGCTGCCTTGCCGCACGGTGGCGTCTGGGGCTGCCCTGCCACCCAGCCCTGCAGTGGGGTCCACTCCTGGCCCCACTCTGCAGAGGGGGCTCTGGGCAGGAACTGGGCATAGGGGTCTTGGGGGGGGAGGGGTGCACAGTGGTTCTCAACCTGTGGCCCAGGTATCATGTAGTGGGCCACATATGTGGCCCACAATGATAAGTAGGTTGAGAACCACTGAGCTAGGATGACCACCTTTTTAAAAGGC